TTGCTACTCCAGCTTTCTTTTGATTTCCATTTGCATGGAATATCTTTTTCCATCCCCTCACTTTCAGTCTGTATGTGTCCCTAGGTCTGAAGTGGGTCTCTTGCAGACAGCATATAGATGGGTCGTGTTTTTGTATCCATTCAGCGAGCCTGTGTCTTTTGGTTGGAGCATTTAATCCATTCACGTTTAAGGTAATTATCGATATGGATGTTCCTATTACCATTTTCTTAATTGTTATGGGTTTGTTTTTGTAGGTCCTTTTCTTCTCTTGTGTTTCTCACTTAGAGAAGCTCCTTTAGCATTTGTTGTAGAGCTGGTTTGGTGGTGCTGAATTCTCTTAGCTTTTGCTTGTCTGTAAAGCTTTTGATTTCTCCATCGAATCTGAATGAGATCCTTGCCGGGTAGAGTAATCTTGGTTGCAGGTTCTTCCCTTTCATCACTTTAAATATCTTGTGCCACCCCCTTCTGGCTTGTAGAGTTTCTGCTGAGAAATCAGCTGTTAACCTTATGGGAGTTCCCGCGTATGTTATTTGTCATTTTTCTCTTGTTGCTTTCAATAATTTTTCTTTGTCTTTAATTTTTGTCAGTTTGATTATTATGTGTCTTGGCGTGTTTCTCCTTCGGTTTATCCTACCTGGGACTCTCTGTGCCTCCTAGACTTGGGTGGCTACTTCCTTTCCCATGTTAGGGAAATTTTTGACTATAATCTCTTCAAATATTTTCTAGGGTCATTTCTCTCTCTCTTCTTCTTCTGGGACCCCTATAATGTGAATGTTGTTGCATTTAATGTTGTCCCAGAGGTCTCTTAGGGTGTCTTCATTTCTTTTCATTCTTGTTTCTTTATTCTGTTCTGTGGAAGTGAATTCTACCATTCTGTCTTCCAGGTCACTTATCCGTTCTTCTGCCTCAGTTCTTCTGCTATTGATTCCTTCTAGTGTAGTTTTCATTTCAGTTATTGTATTGTTCATCTCTGTTTGTTTGTTCTTTAATTATTCTAGGTGTTTGTTCTTTAATTCTTCTAGGTCTTTGTTAAACATTTCTTGCATCTTCTCTATCTTTGCCTCCATTCTTTTTCCGAGGTCCTGGATCATCTTCACTATCATTATTCTGAATTCTTTTTCTGGAAGGTTGCCTATCTCCACTTCATTCAGTTGTTTTTCTGGAGTTTTATCTTGTTCCTTCATTTATCTTGTTCCTTCATTTAGTTGTTTTTTTGGAGTTTTATCTTGTTCCTTCATCTGGTACAACGTCCTCTGCCTTTTCATTTTGTCTGTCTTTCTGTGAATGTGGTTTTCCTTCTACAGGCTGCAGAATTGTAGTTCTTCTTCAGAGACGAAGTTTTGCACTAGTGTTTTAACATCACTAAAAAAGCATGAAAGCAAACATTTTAATAGGTGGAGATTCTCTTCAGGTAGTAGATGTTGGTTTTTTGTCATGATGAATTTTTTAAATTTCTCACAATAAAAAGAGAGCAGAAGTAAGTGTAGCACACTGTCAGAGACATCAGAGAGGGCAGGCCAGTCCTTCTTGAGGTCCAGGTAAGGGCTGTGGCTCAGAAGGCCTACCATTGTTAGCAGGGTCATGTACCCAGGATTTGATTCCAGGGGTGCTGTCCTCCATGGCCTTTGCCCTTCAGCACTTAGCATGTAATAGTTTATAGGAAAATACTTACAGCATACCACATTTACATACCTGGTCACAGATTTTACATTTTCTGTATCTAGTTGTATCTAGGTGTTGTATCCTATTTTTTTCATCATGTTGATATTTATTCTTTTTAATAAAGGATCAAGATTGAGTTCACTCATAAAGATATTTGAAGATTCTCTTTTTCTTTTTAAATTTATTTCATCTTTTGTTTCCTGTATGTTAGAATGTTGTCACTGATCCCCAGTACTATTGATTTTTGGCCTCTCTTCTCAAAGAGCCAGAAGCAACCCAAGCTGGAGGCTTGAGGTATCCTAGATAATTCACTGTGCACAGTGTTTCTCTCCTGACCTTCATTCTCAGGATGACCTTGGCAAGTGGTAGCTCCTACTTGTGAACTTCGGCAACACAGACACAAATGTAGGCATCATAACACGTTTGCTGCATAGGTAACCCTTTCTTATTCTTCCAGAGATAGAATTCAGTGGCCAGAGTATTGTATCTTCTGAGAGAGTATTTAGGTTGTTTAAAACAATCGTTCCACAAGTTTAAATAAAGTGCCTTTAATTTTAAATTTTGTTCAGTCATTTTTGAAATGCAAGCTTTTTCATGTATTTCAAATCTTTCAACACATGCTTAACTCTATTTCAAAGCCTATTAATGTGAGCAATTGCTAGACTCTCTATATAAGCAGCCTTCCGTATACTGAGATATGTTTGAAGTACTTTGGATTTCCAGGAGTAATACAGCAATTGCTAGACTCTCTATATAAGCAGCCTTCCGTATACTGAGATATGTTTGAAGTACTTTGGATTTCCAGGTGTAATACAAGGGCTCTTATCTTCTTTACACTGGATTACAAGTTGAGAGGGAAAGACCAGGATTTTAAAAAATTTTATTCTTTAAAAGTTATGTGTCACTACTATATTTAAAATAGATAACTAATAAGCACCTACTGTATAGCACAGAGAACTCTACTCAGTACTCTGTAATGACTTATTTGGGAAAAGAATCTAAAAAAGAATGGGTATATGTAGAAGTATAACTGGTTCACTTTGCTGTACACCTGAAACTAACACAACATCGTAAATCAACTCTACCCCAGTACAGATTAAAAAAAAAAGTTATGTGTCGATTGAATTCAAGTTGCCTCCTGGTGAAGTGAGCTCAGGCCTTCCTCCCTGACTGTAGAAACCAAACGCATGGGAGCAAGGACTCAAGTTGACACAGACAGATAAACAGACACAAGGACTGAGGGCACCAGAGAGGGACAAACACGACTTCCCAGGGTGCCATGCTTCTTCCCCTTGTTGGTTCAGAGAACCAGGAAACTTGCCATGTTTCAGTAATAGGTGGATATGGGAGCATTCTGATCTTAAGTTGCCGAGAGCCTGGAAGGAAGGATGAGTCCTCTAGAGTCTGCGGGACGTATATGCCCAGATGGGGGTCCAGGCGGAGCCCCAGAGCAGGACTGCAGGTTCTGTGCGCAGTCAGGCGTCCAGGGCTGATACTGATGGTAGAAAATACAGCAAATGAGAGTAAACTTTTGGAAAATTTATAAGAATTTGATGAAGGAATTTAATGTTAAGAAGATTGGAACATATGTTTTGTCAGATTTTTTTGTTATTTGTTTCTCTTAATAATTTATTGATGTGGTATTTTGCAAAACTAGACCTTGTGACCGATTAGAAATTTAAAAGTAAAACCTGTACCACACATAGTTTGCAAGGCTTCTGCTTTAGAGAAAACTTAGTATCTGGCATCGGCCAGCAGGGGAACCCGTCCCACTCGGGCGTCACTCAAGGGGCCGGACCCAGAGAGCTCTGGTGCAGGGCCACAAAAGCAGCATGGAGGCTGAGAGGCAGGACCAGTGGGGGCGCTGGAGTGCACAGCAGCCTGCAGCTCACGATCCAAAACACGTGCATGTCGCTGCTTCTCAAGCTTCGGTCTCACAGGGCAGTTGTTGTGGGCTGGGAAGTGGGCGACGAAACTCGGTTCCTCACTTCTGGGGTCTTGCTCCTTGATGCTCCTGATGCGCCATTTGCAGCCCAGCTCAGTGCAGGTGTCACCAGTCGCTCTCTGTGTCCTCCGTTGGTGGAGTGGGGGTCCATAGTCACATGGGGCCACTCTACTTTGAAGAGCGCAGTAGTGCAAGCCTCACAGCTTCCCAGGGCGCACAATTACAAAGGGGGAAAAAAGAGATGCTTATTCTAAAAAAGAGCAAACACGTAACGTCTGCAGGTGTCACTGCTGAGCTGTACGTACCCTGGCATCTTCTGTCTTCCTGGGCGTTCCGTGGAGGAGGCTTTTGGTGGTGTGCTGAGATGTGTGGTGCACAGCTGTCATTGTTATGTAGACCCGAGATCACCTCGGTCACATTTACTCCACAGGTCCTGCCTTAGGACTCACTAAATTCCACACATTACATGAATGTGACATCAAAGAGTTTTTGTATAATTATTAGGGTTAATTCTGCAGTGGTTGTTGATTTCAGTGAGTATTATGGATATATCATCTTTCTCACCTTAATTGTGTTTCTCACCTTCAAATTTTGTGAAAATTAGAAATATATATGCACAGCAGCAGTTCTAGAGGCGGACTTCCATGGTTTTTAATTTGACATTCCAGAGATGAATGCCTCTGATCTGAGCCTTTGTAATGTATAGATCGTTCTAGGGGTATTTTACTGTTCTTTTATCTTAAGTTTGATAGACCGCAAAATTATCATTTCTTCTTAACATGTACAATTAGAAAACCAGACTTTCAGGAGACAGGAATAAAAGAGACATAACATATAAATTCAAAATCAAATATTGTCTTTATAATACTCCTCTTACTGTTTTCATTGTCTGTGTCCTGAAATGTGAGCAAAGGCTCTTGTACCTGGTTGTCCTGCATCTTTACAGTGAAAGGATGCTCGCAGACTCTTGTTCAGAGAAACTGCCCCCCCACCACCACCACCGGTACCATCTTGTTTGGGATCACATGAATTGATCAGTTAGAATGTAAGCTCTCTTAATGTAGCTTCAGTGTTAGAGTTACCATTTTAATAGGCATTAATGAGTGAACAGTGTCACGCTTTCTATTGCCAGTGAAAAGAATATTAGTACATTTTCTAATGTTTTGTGTAGGTAAATTAGTATCACTTAAGAAATCATTTGAGTTTTTCAAAGTTTATTTTTAAAGTTGAGATTAGATTTTCTAGAACTACTGAAATTAAATATGCTGTTGGATAAATCTATATAAAATCAAATGGTGTCATAATATTTTCCATCAAAACGATTAAGTAGCAAGTGTTACTTCTGTGCATATCCTTCAAGTTTATCTGTAAGGACCACTTTTGTGTTTTGCAGGTACTATAATAGGTGTTGTCATTTATACTGGAAAAGAGACTCGAAGTGTAATGAACACATCCAATCCAAAAAATAAGGTAGGCTAGCTTGAGGACCGACTGCTTGACTGAACTCACCTCCTCCTTTCAGTGAGAGAGCACGTGTAGTTCTGAGTAGCTTGTTTGTGAAACAGAGTTTCAAAATGTTGGTGATTCAGGATATGAATTCTCTGTGTTTGTATAACAGCATGCTCGTGTAGAAGAATTTTCAAAACTATTTTTTCTTGCCTAATCAGAGTTTTATATGTCTCTTAAATTTTCATTGTTGTATATACAATTTGCCCATAATTTAACAGTTAATTGTGGGTCTTTTAATTTCTCCTCAATCTATTTATTTTATAATTTGCACTCTATTTTTATGTTGATGATTCTTTTTTAAAATAAAGGAATCTATATTAATGTTTTTATGGTATGTAATTTGACAGTGTTTTATTGTTAAACCAGTTTTATTTGTTATTTCCATTTCAGAAGAAGCATATTGAAAACCAGATTTTAGTTTTTAGACTGCTTGATTATATTCCTAAATTAATTATATTCCTGTTATAGTCCTAAAATTGTTATTTATGCAGTCATCGTGTGTGTAAGTTAAATCATAACAAAAGGTTAGTTTGAATTCTCAGTAGTTATGATTTGAACAACACATTTTGTATCAAGTCATAATATGTGTTAATATCTACTGAATGAGAAGCTCTTTCTAACTGTGCATTTTACTCACTTTTCTTTGAAATATAATTTGTGTGTATCTAAGTAGAACAAAAAAATCCTCTCATGGAGTCACACCTTGCTTTGTGAGTAATTCATAGGACACGTCTTCTGCAGGAAATTTTATAACAAAGCAATAGAAATGAAATAATTCTTTGAAAGATATCTTTTAGGACAAGATGTGTTTCATTTTTTCAGCTAAATACTATTTTAAAAAATAGTTAACCCTTCAAAAACCAGGGAAGCATCACTGATGCTGTGAATGCCTAGACCTGCTTGCAGTGCCGCTGACTGCTTCCCGTATGGAGAGCATCCCTAGCTGCCTCCCGGGGTTGCATCTGGTGACATTTTATATTCCTGTGTTTGTTAGGGCTCCAGATGTCTGTGGGTGACATGTTTACAGAAGTCAAAGAAAAATGTTGTGCTACTATTATTTTAGTATAAATTCTGATTTTGATAATGGGGGAAAAATTCTCTGTCAATTTATATATATATATAAAACTTGGCTTTGAGTAAATCAAATATACCCAAGTCAGTAATTCTCCAGTAGAGTTAAATTATTTAAAAATAAATTACTAAACTAATGACAAGAGTTAGAATCGCATACATAGTTATGTGTGTTTTCTGGCAAGTATGGTGTTTTTCTTTAGTAAGCAAAACTTGGACGTCTAGTAACACATATATGATTTCTGGGGGGGTTTTCCTTAATCATTTTACTTTTACACTTATGATGGTATTTGAGGGTAAATTTAAATTTAAATATTAAGTTTAAAATCTGAAAACTTTGTAATCCAACTTCTTTTCTTGTTCTCCCTTACCCTTCTGTGCCGCTCACTTCCTGTCTCTCACCATCTGTCTACACACAGCCACTTCTTTGCTCCGGGCACCTTCGGTTTTGGCTCACGTGCTTGTTCCCTTGGGTGCTGATCCAGAGTTACTTAGGTGACCTTTCCCAGGTTTCTGACCGCAGTGAAGAACTCTGGCACTGGAGGTTGACCAGCCTGGGTTAGAGTCTGGGTGGTGCACTGACCAGCTCTTTGACTGTGGGCAAGCGGCTTAATTCTGTGCCTTATTACTCGGTAAATGCTACCTATCACCATTACCTTTCTACAAAGTGAAATGTGAAATATGAATGAGTGCCGTGGTTTTTCAACCCCACCCTCGTTGTCAGTCAAGACACGCTCCCTGAGTAGTGCCCAGGCCCTGAGCGGCTTCAGAGCTGCCTGCCTTTCAGGCCCCCCCCTCCCCCCTCCCCCCCCCCCCCCCCCCACCCTCCCCCCCCCCCTCCCCCCTGCCCTCCCCTCCGCCCTCCCCCCTGCCCTCCCCTCCGCCCTCTCCCCTGCCCTCCCCTCCGCCCTCCTGCACCCCCTCTTCCTCCTTGTCCTCTCAGCCTCCCTTCCTCCTTCCCGATTTAGACAGCCTTCCCAGTTTCCTTGGCGTTAGCAAAATCTCTCTTACAACAGGAAGAACTCCTTTGGCGTCTTGCAGGGTTGGGCTCGGATCCTCGCTCTGCCGCTTGACAGCCTCACGTGGGGAGCAGACGTGCTCTTTCTGGGGCCGAACCTTTCTGGGGTTTGATCAGCGTTTGCTGCTCCCCTTCTGGTTGAAAGCCTTAGGGAAGCTCTCACACAGGCAGGCACTGATCTGAGCACTTTATGTCCATTGTGCCGTGAGTCTGCATGGCAGCCCCCGGAGGAGCCAGAGCTGGCTGCTTTTAGAGCAGGGCGACTGCAGCTCAGGGGGCAGCCTCGTCTGCGTGGGGCTGCCGCTCCCTCAGGGCACTGCGGGTGGCAGAGCTCCAGCCTGAAAACCTTCTTGTAAATCAAGGGATCATCTTAGGAGAGAGAGAAAATCTCTCAATGCGCATGTCATTAAATCTTTCTAAGTGTTAAATGCCGGATTTATAAGAATAAAATTCAGGAAAAGGTTGCAAGCATGCTACAGTGGACAAAAAGCAGCAGATATAATTTATCTAGGGCAAGTATTGATATGTGCTGAAAGAAAAGAATGAGTGATGTTTGAATCCTAAACGGAGGGAAGACAGAAATTAATGTTCGCTGTTTGTAAGACATTATTATCTGCAGACATCTCAGTGTTCTTCTGTAGCTTACTAAACCAGCAAACTTCTGGATTTCACAGAAGGCTAGTGGAAACAAAAAGCAAACATTTAAAATGCTTTGAATCATTTGCCTGAGTTTCATTGGATTTCTTTGGGGAAGCCACACTGTTCCTAACCCTCCATTCTGAGCGCTGCCCTATGCATGGAATGCCTGTGGGGATAGAGTGTCAGGTGAAACAGCCCCGGAAGCACAGTGGCGCACACACCAGAGGTTCCTTCTCTCCTCGTGTACATGTCTGAGATGTGGGCAGGCACTCTGCTCGGCACCATTCCGCGGGGACCCCTCCTGGAAACACGCCTTGGTGACCATGGGGATAAGAAGAAACTGGCGTGGCAGGTTATACACGCCTCCCCACTCAGCCGGTCAGCGGTGTGGGCGTGTTTCCTTGGCCAGAGCACTTGAATGGCTTCACCGAAGTTGGAGGAATTAGGGACGTACAGTCCTACCCCAACCGTGGAGGAGGGAGAATTGGGGATGTTTAATGACAAGCACTGCTGACCACCCGCAGTGCGCTTATGGGTGAGAGTTTCCAGCCTTTCACAGAGAGTTAAAAAACAAGGAGGAACCTCGTAGAGCCCTAAAAGTGCCAGCAGCTAGGGTGAAGCAGGGAAGGGTAGCCAGGAAGGAAGGCTGAGAGGACAGCACTTGCAGAGTGGCCGGCAGTTGGCAGCGGGCCGTGTGGCGGAGGCCCCGGAGGTGAAGGACTGAAGGGTCCACGGACTAAGCACATAGAAGTCGTGGTGAAGTGAAAAGCTCGGGTGGAGGGCAGATGCAGAGGCAGGTAGAAGCCTCCGAAGGAGGGCTCTCGGCCACGGCTGAGCAGGGGAGGCCGGACACGCTTTGAGGCAGGGCCCAGAGCACCAGAGAAGCCGTGGTGGTAAGAACTGACTGATGCTGCCCTGGGGAAAGGATTTTATTGATTTTGTTTCTGGTGAGAAAACCAATATCACAAAACTATTGATGCTTCCAGTAAAAGAAGAGAGGGTCTTAGTTTATAAAGAGGAAAAATATTCTTTGGAAGAATAAGTTTCATAGGCATCTAATAGTAACTTAAATATATAAATACAAAATTACTTAAAAAGGGAAATTATATACTGTTATATGGAAAACAGCTACCATAGAAAATATGATGTGGCCTCTTTGATTTTGCAGAAAATATTTACGCTCACAGACATAGAAAACTTACAGTTACCAAGGGGAACGAGGGGAGGGGAGGGATAAAGTAGGAGTTTGGGATTGACATACATACACTACTGTGTATAAAATAGAGAACCAACAAGGACCTACTGTATCGCACAGGGGGCTATACTCAATATTTTGTAATAACCTATAAGGGAAAAGAACCTGAAAAACAATAGATATATGTGTGTAACTGAATCACTGTGCTGTACACCTAAAACTAACACGAAATTGTAAATCAACTATACTTCAAAAAATAAATAAATAAAAATAAGAATAAAGAAAGAAAAGATTTACAGTCATCTGTTAATCAGCCAGTATCTCCCTCCCCGCCCCCCCGCCCTTACTCCATATTTCACTATGGTGTATACAGGAGCATCATGCAGATCTGTAAATTGCTGTAAGTTCCTAGGATGGAAAACGCTACAGTTAAAGCAGTGCTAATTTAAGGGAAAAAAAGTTAGTGATAATAACAATAATTGATGTAGTGAAATTAATGCAGAACATGGTAAGAATTTGAGACAGTTCCTAAAAGCATTGAGAAAGATTATAGCCTAACAGTTTAGGCTCATAAATTACTGGGCAGTGTTAGGGACCCAGCTGAATCTTAAATTTCTCATGGAGCCGGTAATGAGCATGTGGCTTTCTCAGGCTGATGTTCAGGAGCCCCCAGGCAGAAGTGAAGAAATGGCTGGTCTAAAGTTCCAGGTTGTGGGGTGGGAGGGTCAGAGGAACTGCCCACAGATGCCCCCGGGAGACACAGGGGCCCTGCAGGTTATGCCACTGGACTTCATAGCGTTCTTAGTACTCATGCCCGCTCGCAGGGCCCCCTTCCCCGGTCCTGCGCACAAGTTCGCATCGTTGGTGGCGGCTGTTCTGAAGAGCCGTCTCCCTCTGACATTACCCCGGCCGCCTCTGCTGCCCTAGGAACGTGAGTGTCACTTCCCTGTTGAGGCTGGGGCTAGTTGTGGACCAGCCTGGGCACCTTGTAAAATGTCGTCCTTGGGTTGAGCAGATGGCTGTTAGCTAAGTTGACCA